TCTGTCTTAGACCACACCCACATTTGTCAGCCTCTGTCTTAGACCACACCCACATGCATTGGCTGCTGTCTAAGACCACACCCACATCCATTGGTTTCTGTCTTAGACCACACCCACATCTGTCAGCCTCTGTCCTAGACCACACCCATATCCGTCGGCTGCTGTCCTAGACCACACCCACATAAATTAGCTGCTGTCTTAGACCACACCCACATCCATTAGCTGCTGTCTTAGACCACACCCACATTCACCAAATTGGGCGTGGAACTTTGAGCAGAAGAACCATGCACTAAAAGAAGGAGCCATGTTTTAATCAGGACTAGTGCTTTTATTGACATTTACAGACTAAATGTTTTTAAATTAAAGACATTTTCTCTCCTGTCATTTAGAAGCGTAACAACTGAAAACTAAAAACTTATTTTAGGCTTAGATTTGCATTATTTTATGATTTATTTAAAGTATAATGAAACTTCTTTAAATTCAAGATCTTTTTTAATTGAATTTTTAATTTTTTCAAAAAACAAAAACATTAAACAGCAAAGATGGTAATGAAGCATTTGCATGTAACCATTGGTGAAGACATTAGTAGACTGAGTCAATCTGAATTGCATCATCTACATTATAATCCACTCCAAAGAAAAGAAAATAATCCCTCCCCAATCACTGCCAAAAGGAAAGGGAAATAAATAAATAAAAAGTAAAATAGCCAAGAGACTGCATTACCCTGAATGAGTTTTGTTGTCAAAGAGACTGGAATAGATTCAGGAAAGGTCCCCAAACTTTCTCAAATTTACCCTCTTTCTGTTGGAGTGTGAATCTGATTTTGTCCAGCTTTAAACAGGACATGATGTCAGCCAACCACTGAGCGCGAGTGGGTGGAGACCGTTCTTTCCACCTGAGCAAAGTGGCTCGTCTGGCCAGGAGAGAGGTGAACGATATTACGTGCTGTTGGTTTTTATTTAGATTTGTCATGCCCTCTACAAGACCAAACAGCAATCAGTGGGTCAGGGCTCAGACATGTATCTAGTACACGTGATAAAGTCTGAAAGATTTCCCGCCAGTATTTGTTCAGAGATGAGCAAAACCAAAACATATGGGAGAGAGAGGCTTCAGCATGTTTGCATCTCACATAGTACGGGCTAACATCAGGATACATAGAGGACAATTTCAGTTTAGAGATGTGAGCTCTGTGCACCACTTTAAATTGTATTAGACAATGTCTAGCACAGAGAGAACTGGAGCTCATCAGTCAGTATGGAGGTCCAGGAGTCCTCTGAAATAGAGGAGCCAAGATCCTCTTCCCAAGCAGCTTTGATTTTATCTGAGGAAGCACACTTCAAATCCAATAGTCTACTATAAATAAATGAAATAGAATGTTTTTTATTTGGGTCTAGAGAAAGAATTAACAATTAATTAACTAATTAATTAATTTAATTAAATAATTAATTAGAGTCTAGAGAAAGAATAGCGTCAACAATACTGCTATCTGTTGAAATGGAGAGGCTGGACAAATGAAGAGTAATAAAGTGCCGTATTTGGAGATACCTAAAAAAATTGGACTGAGGAAGGCTAAATTTTTCATATAGTTGTTGAAATGAAGCTAGCATGTTATTGAGGAATAAGTCATTGAAGCGTACTATACCCCTTCTCTGCCATTCTTTAAAAACAGAGTCCTGTGATGTGGGTTTGAAGAGTTGGTTAGACAGGATAGGGCTATAGAGAGAGAAACGAGAGAAATCAAAACATTTGCGAAATTGTGCCCAGATTTTTAGTGAGTGTTTTATAACTGGGTTTATAACAGTTGTAAGTGGTGGAAGCAGGAATGAGGATCCCAAGAAAGCCAGGGTGGACCATTTCCCAGAACACTGACTCC